GTTACGGATCTTCGGGCGTCGGTTTGCGATTGGAAGAAGGCTCCGAAATGGCTCCGAAAAACCACTACTTTACTGTATAATTTATTCCAGTACCTGTTGCTTGCTCTACTTCTATATAATATCTGCAAGCAAGTAGGATGGTACCAGTAGCCGCTCGATATACATGGGGGACTTCGGATATCGGTTCGTGATGGAAGAAGGCTCCAGAAAACCACTAGCCTACCTAACTGTATTTATTCCAGTGCCAGTTGCCTGCTCTTTTTCTATATAATATCTACACGCAAGTGGGATGGTACCAGTAGCCGCTCGATGTATGGGGGACTTCGGGTCTTCTGCGCGATGGAAGAAGGCTCCGGAAAGACCACTACTGTATTTATTCTTATCTGGCGATAAGCCTAGGAGTTGGCGGAGGGCACGTCCTATCTATCATAATGTTCGCATCACGACCGCCCTGTGACTCCCTCTGCCTTGCCGGCAGTGTCTTCAAAGTGAAGGATAATGTTGTTATGGAAACATTTAATAGTTAGTTGTCAGCGCCAGGCTCTCAGTTTTTGTGAGGGGCGTCTTCGTGTGTGTGCTTAGGTTATCGAGACTCGTGGTCTGTTTTCAGTGTGTGGTGGTTCCAGTTCTTGGTTTTGTTTTTGCTTTTTGCTTTTTCTAGGACTGCTGCAGAGTTGAGAGGATTTGGGTTTTTTTCTTTCTTATTTATTTATTTTCAGTTTTTGCTCATGAAGCAAAAATGATTTACCTAAGATTCATCTTGAATATTCGTGCGTGTTGAGTGATTAGTGTGGTTTCTATAAAGGACTATAGAAAATGACATGCAAGTTGATGTTGTTATTTAACAGTAATGTGTGCGATTTAAAACTTTTTCATTTTTCTGTCAAAAAAGAGGATTGTAACATTAAAGGAAAGTTACTTTCGTAGGTGATCGTGTAATTGCTGTAATTGTAATCTTTGACTGGTTTGTAGATTTTAGTTTTGTTTAAGAAAAGATCTCATGAGAACAGACTTTTTTATTTATATTATTATTTTTGCAACTTGAAACTTTATATACCAAGTTGTTTCACTTTAATGTAACAGATTAATCTCATCATAGGAGAATTGTTTAATAGATGCCTCTTGGTGCCAAGCTCTCCGTTTGCGAGGGGGCGATTTCGAACGTGTGTGTGTGTGTGTGTGTGTGTGTGTGTGTGTGTGTGTGTGTGTGTGTGTGTGTGTGTGTGTGTGTGTGTATGTGTTTGTGTGTGTGTATGCGTTTGTGTGTGTAAGAAAGAGATAGATAGATAGATAGATAGATAGATAGATAGATAGATAGATAGATAGAGAGAGAGAGAGAGAGAGAGAGAGAGAGAGAGAGAGAGAGAGAGAGTGAATGCGTGCGTGCGTGTATGTGTGTGTGCGCGCGCGTGTGTGTGTGTATGTGTGTGTGTGCGCGTGCGCATGTGTGCGTGTGGTAGTGTTTGTGTGTTTGTGTGTGTGTATATATATTATATATATATATATATATATATATATATATATATATATATATATATATATATATATATATACATGTATATGTATATATATGTGTGTGTGTGAGTGTGTGTGTGTGTGTGCGCGCGCGTGCGTGCGTATACGTGCGTGCGAGCGTGCACTGGTTATAATCCATGGGTTCATTTCTAAAGTTTACGATAGAAAGCGTTATATTTCAGAACTTTGTCTCATAAACACTAACGTGACAGTTTTCAATAAACCAAGGCGTGTTTACTTCCTCCCCCCGACAGCTGGAAAGAAAATATGTTATATCTTACCAGTTGATCTGTTTTAAATAGGTAGTGCCTTTGTGAAGCAAAGTCATTTTCAAATATATTACACATGTAATATACATGTAGCCTACACAGGCTATTTATTTTGTAAAGTGTAATGGCACTCTCTGCTCTGACAAAGTTCGAGTTTACCTTTAGAATAAAAAAAAAATTGGGAAAAGTCCGACTTTCTAAAATTATTCGGTGGATAGTTGTAGGTATAGTGCTGAAGTGTGATATGCTCCTTCTTTTCTGTCAAACACCCATCGTCCATATCTCTCCTACTTCTTTTTGTGTTTGTTACTACTCTCTTGTAACATTTTCAATCGTCCGCACTTATACTAGATATGATTGAGAACTGGTGCCGTAAAACGCTTACCTCCACTGACCATCTTCAAGTTGTGCTGTGAGCAGAGTAGTGCCACGGATGCCTTTCGTACCGCGCGTGTTCCTCTGTATTGTGAAATGGGTTACTGAAGCTGTACTGTGACAATGGATTACCGATGCTGTACTGTGACAATGGATTACTATAGTTGTACTATACTGTGATAATGGATTACTGTAGCCTGAAGCATCCTGGGATTTGACGAGCTCTGTCTTATAATATACTGACCGCCAGGATCATAATGTCACTCCACAACCGTTTCTCTGGTGTCACCAATCGCGTCCGGAACGGACAGAGGGGGTATCTGTACCTCAGAGTGCCGACTCCGGTACGCTTCTGTCTTAAGCCTCCTGGTATATAAGATTCCTGATATCGTACGTCGTTGGTGGGCGTCTGCTATTTCTACATTTCCCACCAAATGTTGCTCTATTACCGTTCTTTGTTTCTGGCCATATGTAGTGCCATTATGCTGACTCTGGCAGGTTTCTTTTTGTTGTTGTTGTTGTTGTTGTTGTTGTTGTTGTTGTTGTTGTTGTTGTTGTTGTTGTATAAATCGATCCAGCAACAGCTGGGCTCTCGCCGTTCTGTCCAATGCCACGTAGTGATAAGTGCAGGTCTGCTGCAGTTGCTGTAATGTTCCATAGAGTTTGTTGTCTATGTTAGGTCTCGGAGGGAGAAGGGTATCTTTTTTGGTAATGTAGGTGTTTTTACGCCCCCCTCGACACACTTTAGATAATTGTGAAGGAGGCATATTATAACTGCGTGTATCCAAGTTTCATTTTCCGTGACGCACCAATGGTTTTCAATTTGTCAATGTACGCCGTATAGGGCTGATTTTGTAGAATCCAGATCGGTTGGTCCATGGGTTCTATAAAGTGGTCTGTTCTTACTTCACCGGCGTCTGAGGTGTAACAGTTAGGTGCTTCGAGGTCTCACTCGGAAGACCCGAGTTCGATTCCCGTGTGGGGAGAATTTTCATAGTGTATTTCAGTCATTGTTTGTTTTCGTACCGGCTCACCGCGTTCTGGGGTTCTTGTTACGTCTCATCTATGACTTATGCTCCGTGTTAAGTGGGTGGTTGGAGAGTGGTACTGGTAGACCTTACTTTCTGCTCGCCCCTCCCCCCCCCTCTCTCTCTCTCTCTCTCTCTCTCTCTCTCTCTCTCTCTCTCACTCACTTTCTCTCCCTCTCTGTACGGTATCTCCCTTTCTGGAAAGTGCGTTGTTATTGTTGCTGCTGCTGCTGCTGCTGTTGTTGTTGTTGGTATTGTTGTCGTTCTTTCTGGGTTTTTTTGCTGTTGCTTTTATCAGTGTTGCTTTTTCCTAATTCATCCCAACAGTCACTTATCAATGCCACACATGGGCCACGAACAGGACATTGGAGCAAAAAATCACAACATGTGAAATGCGATGTCTTAGAAAAGCAGTAAACAAGACCAGGAGAGACAAAATTAGAAACTCAGTAATCAGAGATACGGTGGGCCCAAAACGATGTCATGCATTACATCCAGCACCAAAAAATCAAATGGTTCTGACATCTCATGCGACTACCAACACACCATCCAGCACAACTTGCCTATATAAAAATTACCCCCCAAAAATTCAATGGCAACAAGGCTAGAGGGTGACTGAGAAAAACCTGGATAGATGGAGTCAGGGAAACACTAACAACTCATGGCATCCCCATGACCCAAGCTCTCTGGTTGGTTGCAGAGTGACGTCTCTTTCTTCCCGCGACGCCCAAAAGGGTATAAATGGCGGATGAAACTTTAAAAAGTAAAAGCTTTTTCCTCACACTAAATGGCCGATATCATATCGACATTCTCCTCTTTCCTCAAACTTACAAAACGGACTGTGGTAAAGGCCCTAGATACGACAATCCACTTCTGTATGCAACCTATATTATTTTGAATGTCTCTTAAAAATGTGTATCACCCTCCCTCTACAGGTGGATGGAAGGCGTCACTGGTGTAGTCATATTTCTGCGTCATACTTCTGCTCTTTACCTTAGATTGTTCTTGGATGTATTGCCTTTCCTTGCACAAAACGGCGTCATTTGGCTGCTGTGCTTTTTTTTACTCAGATAAAGTAGGTGGTTGGTGGGTTTGCTCCTTCTTTTCTAGCTATCAATAATCGTCCTTGTCTGTCGCCCTTCTTTTTTGCGCTTGTTACTCTCATGTAACACCTCTAATTTTCGGTATTTATATGACCTAACTCTGTTGGAAGTACTGTGAAACGTATCATTCTCTTTTTTTCCCCCTTCTTTTGTTTGACAGTGTGGAGTAGATGTGAACAAGCCCAACTCGTACGACCAGACAGCTCTGGATGTAGTACAAAAGTTTACCTCTGGACATGCTGGCAAGGAGCTCAAACAGATCCTCAAAGGTGAGAGCCATTTATGTCACCCTCCTTCTTCATCTATGCATATTTTTTTCCTGTCTTTTCTGGGTGCTCTGAATGTGGTTTGCTCCTTCTTTCCTATCAAACATCTACAGTTCTTATCTCTTCTCCTTTTCTTTGTATATAACTCTCTAGTAACATCTCTAATCTTCGGCACGTTTATGACCTTATTGTGTTGAAAGTGCTTTAAAAGGCTTACTGAAACAAAATTCATATTCTTTGTATGTCACTCTCTAGCAATACCTCTAATCTTCCGCACTTATACAACCCAATTGTTTTGCAAGTGCTGTAAAACGCTTTCTGAACTGTCTTTCTGACCTGTCTTTCTGAACTGTCTTTCTGGTACATGTACGGGTACTTGGTGAATGCTCCCAAATGGTTTGCTTGTTATGCTTCTTGTTCGATGTTTCTTTCTCCCAGGTGTTGTGTTGATGAAACGTTTCCGTACTTGAGTTGACTCACTGGAAATTACATCTCAACTACTGCTTCCTGTCTTCTTTGTAAACAGTAGATATCGTTGAAAAAATTTAGTCGATGATGCCCTACCACCCGCCCCCTACTTCGACAACCTCAAGCGAGTCCTGCTCTGATTTCTTTGTCTATAAACATCAGAGTCGCTTCTTCATGAAGACTTACAAATATTCCCTACCTATTTTCACGGAGTCAAACCGAACTTGCATTAACTCTGTGACCGGGGTCATATTAAGGAGAGAGAGAGAGAGAGAGAGAGAGAGAGAGAGAGAGAGAGAGAGAGAGAGAGAGAGAGACAGACAGACAGACAGACAGACAGAGAGAAACAGAAAAATGGGGAGGAGATGGGAACCATGTAAAATGGAGAAACAGTGTAGAAAAGAGAGAAAAAAACCCCAGACAAGCTAAACAGACAAGAATAAAGATAAAGCATGATAATTAGTAGAACGTAGAAAGACGACAAAAACGACTAATCCATACTGCAATTTGTACCCAGTATCTCATACCTTTAGAAAAATGCATTTGACAATATAACTTTGTACTACTAAAATGACATCAATAATTTCGATTTTTAAACGTTTTAGTAGAGGTTTTACGGCGCTCGAAACTGCATAAGGTCATATGAGCGCCAGGAGATTAGAGATGTTACAAGAGAGTAACAAACATAAACAAGAAGAAGAGGAGATAAAGACAATAGATGTTTGATGTGAAAGAAGAAGCAAACCACACCAGAGCACCCGCCAATCACCCACTAATTTTGTTTGACAATAGCAGAGACAACACCCGTCTCGACCAGTGTCCTCTTTTCGTAATAAAGCCTTTGAATAATTATATTATAATGTATAATCGGTATTTATTGTTGTTTTGGGGGATTGCATCTTTTCCATGGTTTTGTAGAACTCGCCACAAACTGTAAACGATACGTACATTGTTTCGTTTACTTTTAGTAAGTGTCTGTTTAAGTAAGAGTTTTAAAGCATTTGCAACACAATAAGGTCATATAAGATTTGAGGTGTTACAATATAGTAACACACACAAAAAAGAAGGAGGATAGATAAGGACGATAGCAGATGTTTGGTAGGAAAGAAGGAGCAAACCACACCAGAGCACACGCAAATCACTCACTTAGTAAGAGTTTTACAGCCTTTGCAACACAATTAGGTAAAATAAATGCTAAAGGTTAGAGGTATTACTACTACAGAGTAACAAACAGAGAATAGGAGGAGATGAAAGGATGATAGATGTTTGATAGGAAAGAAGGAGCAAACCACACCAGAGCACCC